ACGGAGTTTTGAAGGTTTTACTAAGCTTAAAGTTTCATAAAAATCACGGATTTTTTTGTCTAATTTAAAATTTTCATCCTAAATTTATTATTAATGCAAACTCGACGAGACTTTAAGTTTATATGCAAATTAACTTTAATCATGTTTACTTAATGCGCCAGTCCTGGTTTGATTAATAAAATTTTGAACTGCATAAGGCGTAACATTTCCGATTATTAAAATGATCATCAGGTGGTCGGATATTTATGGTAGCGGTTAAAAATTTGTTGACAAATTTTAGATTAGAGGATGAAAATACAAATCCGATAATTAATACTAAACAATAAATGAAAATATTTAAAAACAAATAAATAAAATAAACAGGCTATATTTCCCTTTTTCTCATGTTCCTTCTTTACGATGTTAATGTTTTAATTCTCAATAATGTATTAATTATATTAATTATCTTCGCAAAATACCAAATAAAATGAAGCTCCGTAGGGGAGTGAGTGTATGTGTTTTATTAGTGTAATTATCCCCACCGATCCTTATTTAAAATCAATGCAGATCACTCATTATTAAAAGAATCACGAATTAAGTTCTATTTGGTTTTTGGTGCGATCAATGTTTTCACCTTGTTAAGTCGTACGGCAAATATTCTGTTTATTAAAAAAGTTCTTTGCAATTGCAATTTGCTAGTGCCTTGTCATTGCCTTGCCTGTTGCTTGCAACGATATTGCAATGAACTTCCGCTCCTCAATTTTTTTTTATTCGAAAAAAGGTTCATTATATAGTCGAATAAAAAATATGTTGATTGTTGATCATCTATCGAATTGAGATAATAAATAAGATTTTGATTATTCCAATTGTTAATTTTCGAGGAATATATACTTGGAACAAAACAGACTAGGAATTTTTATTATGTATATATATAAAATAAAAATAATCACGGGACTGATAAACCTCAAAGTTTTTCAAATGTTACATCAATATTGGTAATAATAATGGTAATTATTAATATTCAATCATTGATTACTTTCATTTTTATTGATTTTAAAATTAACAATATCCACTCTTGTGATAAATATTTTGTAGATTCTAAACAAATTGATTTAGCTATACCAGATGACTTATTTGAATAAGTTAAATCCTGTCACTTATTATGTATTATTTATTTATTTTTATTTATCTGGCTACTATAGTTTAAATGTCTTGAGTAATGATATTATATAATAACTTTGGATTTTTTTTTTGATTTGAAATTCAGATGCCAAATAAAAAAAAGAAAAAAAAATTTTTGACATGTAATTTTTTAATAAATAGTAGTTATTCCCCGCAAAGTAGGGGATAACGCCAAATTTCCCGTTGAATTGTGGGGGATAAGAGAGTTATCCCTCGCTTCTATATAATGCATTATGTAGATCCTTATGGTTTTTAAAAAAAGCTTATTTCCAAAAAAATTTTCTTGCTTTATTAAATGCCTATTTTTATGAAAAATGTTTACAACAGCAAAGGAAATCTATGGGCCACTGTTTTCTGATAAGAATAGTGGGTTATTGTTTTTGTAATGGTAATGCTGTAATACTATATAGGCACTAATTCTACAATATTAATTTCCAATGAAATTGACATTATGAATGATCCTCTTGAAGAAACAATTACAAATGTCAAATCGTTTAATTCTGAAATTGAAACCACAAATAATAATAATTCTCTTGAAGAAATTGAGATCTTTTTGATAGAGTGGATTCTTTTAATATATTCCTATAATATATTTTAAAATTTTCTATTTTTCTTTATAATCAAATAATAATGTACATATACCTATGAACAAAGAAATCAAAGACACAATAAATTATTGGGGGGTGTTACAGTCTAATTAAATCAAAACTAAGTAATCTCATATAGTGTCGATCACTAAGTTATTTTTTTTTAATGATCGACAACGCAAAGAAAACAATAAATAAAATCGTATTTTCAAAATGCTACTAGTCAGTGAAAAAGAGAGATATCATTTCCAACTTTGAGTATGGAATAGTATAATATATCTAATTTATCGGTACATAGAGATTTTTGAAGGTAACAAACAGCATTGATGAAAACGTCACCATCAAAAATTGCTGAAAGTGTAACGGATATAATAAAAACGCATTTTCCAAAATGTTACTAGTCAGTGAAAAAGAGAGATATCATTTCCAACTTTGAATATGGAATAGTATAATATATCTAGTTTATTGGTACAGAGAGATTTTTGAAGGTAACAAACACCATCAAAAATTGCTGAAAGTATAACGGATATAATAAAAACACATTTTTCAAAATGCTACTAGTCAGTGAAAAAGAAGAGATATCATTTCTAACTTTGAATATGGAATAGTATAATATATCTAGTTTATTGGTACAGAGAGGTCTTTGAAGGTAACAAACACCATTGATGAAAACGTCTTCATCAAAAATTGCCAATAGTGTAACGGATATAATAAAAACACATTTTTCAAAATGCTACTAGTCAGTGAAAAAGAGAGGTATTGTTTCCAACTTTGAGTATGGAATGTATAATATATAGTTATTGGTACAGAGAGGTATTGAAGGTAACAAATACCAGTGATGAAAAAATCACAATCAACATTTGTTATATCGTGACGGGTCTTTTGGAATTTTTATTTTTATTATTGTTTCCTTAGAAATTCGCCATGCAATAACATTTAAAAATGTATATTAGTATTATAGCTGAGTATCTTCTGAATATAATTCTGTTTTTTTTTGTTTTTATTTCTTTTTTTTAAATTGGTAAATTTTCCCTTACAGTATTCCGTGTAACATCCATAAAAAAACCGTACATATTAATGATATTAATTAGATTTGTTGATCTACTTGTATGACACCTCCCAATATGTTACCCTAAAATCATATGAACTGTCGACAAAATGAATCAGACCCGTAAGATATAGCCAAATCGTTCGACAGTTGACGAAATCGTTTTAAAATAGATCACCTCGAAAAAACCGATTTCCAAATAGTTGCAAAACAAATAATAATTTTGCTATTTCTATTACCATTACCATTACTATTACTATCATTTCAACCAGATTTATCGGAAAACCCGGTTCTTTACAATCTTTTTCATTTCTTTATTTTCATTTACCAATGATAAATAATTTTTTTTCAGTTTCTCTGCCAGTTTCATTTAAATAGTTCTCATGAACATAAATTTCATTAAAAGTTCTTGTACAAATCCTTTTCTATCTGGTGATAATAACTGTTGAAATGTCAATTTTTTTCTTTGAATTAAAATTTTATAAAAGTTAATTCGTGCTTAATTTGGTGCCTAGACAGCAATTTTAACTTTTTCTGTAACAGATCACGTAGCCAAAGTACAATAGTGCATATTAAGTACCAACAAAATAAAATCATAACTTTGTAAAAAAAGCCTTGGCTTTCAAGGCCGGTAAAATTTCTGCGGCAGGGATATGCACTATATAATGAAGTTAATGATAAACTCACAATGCACGATAAAATAAGACCCTTCCTTCACATTGGAGCTCAATGTAAATAATTAGTTAGTAATTACCAAATTCATCTCATCAGAACGTTGATGGTGATCATCTATTTAGGATCGCAATCCAAACGTATTTGCGTCGGCACAAAAATGAAAAGGCTTGATTTTACGAGCCGGTTTTGTTGAGTTCAATCTTCAGTTGGCATTCTCTGATATAGTTTTTTTTTTATTTATTCAATAGTCTAACAAGCAAAAAACAACGACTTCTTTTTCTTTGTGCTTTCGCTTCCTTTTGCTTATTATCTATTCTTTTTACGATCGGATCTTCTGTAAATGGTATTTACCTCCTTTCGGGAACCTGAGATGTTATAGCTAATAATGGATTTGCGAGAAAATTTGCAATCTTTTTGAATATTGATGACACCATTAATTTCGCATTCACTTTTCTCACATCACCAATCGTTGGATTTTATGATTCTACTCCGAGAAAAGTATCTTTTCTCATGTCATCAACCCCAGTGCTCTTGATCAATTCCAGATATTGAGGAATATACATATATGTTGCTATAGTTATATTTTTTGCGTAATCTGAGGAAACTAACAAATACACTTTCTTTCTTTCATATCTAAATATTCAACATTAGGTTCATACCGGTATCATCATTATTGTAAAAAGTATAGCTGTTAAACAAGCTACCAAGAAATTTGTAAACAAATCAATGTGTCAGCCAATAAATGCAAAGGACTGAAATAAACCAGTCATAAGTAAATAAGTGAGCCGTATTTTATAATTATCATGTAAGATTCGCGGAATCTTTCTTGGTGCAAGGAAGAGACAGTAAGCAAGAGAATACCAAATACAATTGGTAAATATGAAATATTAATTGACGACCATCAAATTATTGTAAATTGCTTGCGTACGTTGACTAAAAAAAAAATTTTTTTATATGTTAAAGTGATTGTAAAAAGGTATTTAATTAATCGTATCAAATAATTTTTGGCTTTTCAAATTCTCACCAATTCGAATTAAACGATCATGACAACTATTTATAATTATTTTTTTTTTATAAGATCTTTTATTTCTTCATTACTTGATGGTAAAGCAGTACATCATCAGAGATCAACGGTAAAATTTCAAAAGTCAATAGTTCTTATGTTGGTGAAGTTTAAGGAGTAAAACAATTATTATTAGATGGCTTTGTAAAATTAATTAATAGATATAATAGTAATATTTTAAACATTGATTATTTATAATAATAATGTTTATGGGTAAATCCTGTTGATGATTTGATTTTGGATTTATAATAAATTCGGATTAGATTTTTTTTAAGACAAGTCAATTGATATTGTTTGCTGGCAATTATTCGAGTATAACTTTATTATTACGATCATTTGATTGGCAAATAAAATTAATCAATCATTATATTAATCATTTCCAGCTTCTACTTTTTCTTCTTCGTCGTCGTCTTCTTTTCTAAGAGAAGCTTAGCAATACGATCAAGATCACGTTATTCATCCCGTGTAATCCTTCGACAGCTATTTTTTATAATAAAAAAGAATAATTGTTTTTTAAAAATAATAAATTAATAAAAAATTCATCACTAATCTTAAATAAATAAATCTTTTTTTTAGGATCTTCCTCCAAAATTTTAATTACCTCCAAAGATTGAAGAACATTGCGAGCAACGGCTCCTGATGAATCTGACTGATGAGAGGAACGAGTACCTCTACGTTTGCGACCACATGAAGCTTTTTCAATGCACCAACACCAACACTGGAGCGTAAATAAATATGGCGAGCAACAGAAGCTAAATAATAATTCACAATTGAAATCCACTCA